CTACTACTACTACTACTACTACTACTACTATCATCTACCACTTTTATCACTACCACTACTATTATTACCGCTATTATGCGAGACTACAGCTCTGCAATGTTACCTGCTAGGACCTACTAATCTACCATTACCACCTACTATCAACTACTTAGGATGATTGTCATGACTGTAGATGAGATCAGCAATACAGGCAAAACAGCTAGGAGTCACACTAGTAATATCCAGTCAGTACCCTAATTACCTTCGTTCGGCGGCCTTAGGGAGTACATAGATAAGAGACGAGGCAAGGCAGTTAATCCTTTTCGATCTTCATATGATCATACTTCTTGAAATATTACTGTATTTCATTACTGTATAACGTTTTCGTATTCAGCTTATATAATCCTTTGAATATTTTATTAATGACTATTCGCAGTCTATCTCTATTTATCTCTCTCTCTCTCTCTCTCTCTCACACACACTTTCACTCTCTTCTCTCTCTCTCTCTCTATATATCTCTCTCTCTTTCTCCCATTTATTAATTGAGAAAAACAATTGGAGAGTAGAAGACTGGCTCGTGTTGTTTCTCTCTTCTCGTTCTCTTTCTCTTTGACTGCTCTTGTTTATTTGATCTTAATCGCGAAACAGGAAGTTCTTTATCACGATCCCACCACCACTCTCTATCTATTCTATCTATCTATCTATCTATATATCTCTTTTTCTCACATACATGAGACACACACATGTACACCATAGCACACTCAACCCTTTCACCAAATTCATTCGTCATCTTTTGATTAGTGATCTCACCCAACGTTTATTATTGATAAACCTTTTTTAATACGGACACGTCGATTAGATATTTCCGGTAAATTCGATGGTTCGAACTTTTATTTTCATTATATTTCCAATTGAAATCTAAAATTTTAATCGAAATTCTTGTCTCCCCGTTACATCTAAAAAGCCATCGAGTTTCCCGATAACGAGCACTAATTTTAGCTGATAACTTTCTTATTGTTATAGCTAAATTTCGTAGCTGCATCCTTTTGGTTGTCACATTTAACAATTATGGAATATTACGAGTTACTGGTAAACGGAAAGCTTTTGTTTTTTTAATTGCCAGTATCCTCGTTAAGATTAACAGGAAACGCAGGTGTTGATTCGAAAATTGTGTCTAATGTTAAAAATGTTTTTTTTTTTAAAGAAAAAAAAAAGATTAATACAAAAGGAAACAATATCTGCAGTTTCCAATTAGTTCCAAACTTGATCACTCTCTTAAAACCATTACATTTTTTTTCTTCACATTCGTCATTAATTTATTTCACCACGTCGCTGTAGTATTATTCATTCATAATCGTTATTTTTGTGAGTCTATTTCTCTCTATCTCTCTCTCTCTCTCTCTCTCTCTCTCTCTCTCTCTTTCTCTCTATTTTACGACACAATTTTTTCTAACATCATTGTATACGCTTTTTAAACATTTCTATTACACGTAAATGGCATGTCACAAGATCACACGTGCAATTATAAAAGCATGATATTATTAGGCGTGTGCGTTCACAGGACCTTGATCGTGCTATTAAAATTAACGTTACTTCGTTAGAAAAATCTTTGAATAATGAACAAAGAAATTTTCTATTTGGAAAAAGAAAATAAAAAAAAAAATAGAAAAGAAAAGATAAGTTACAGAATTGATTGTCGTTTATAATTATCAGAAAATTTAGAACACTCAAGAGTTTAATGTAATTTCAAATGCTTATGCGTTATTTTGATTCTTTCCAGTCTTTCGATTCTAGACGATCTATGAAAGACACGTTCACTTACACACACACTCGGAAATATACGATCGAAAATAGGTAAGCCGCCCTCGCTGCGGCTCCATTTTCAGCAGTGTCTATCTATGGCCTCCATTGTCGTATTTTTTCTGTTTATCGTCTTTTTTACATCACATTTTGAACCGTCAAACATCTCACATTTCCATGATAATTAATCCCAACCTTCGTGCATTTATTTTTCAATCGGACATATATATACACATATATATATATATATATATTCAAAAGGTTTTTTTTAATACAGCCTGCACTTTTGATAAAACATTCTGTTTCGTAAGACTCTTAGAAAAAAAAAAAAAAAAAATTCCTTCTCATCGAATCCATCTCCTCTAATAAACAAATTCCTATTTCTTTTTTCTCTCTTCTCCCTTTTTACAATATATATTTTTCAATAAATAAATGTATACTACTATTTAATATTCGATGTGTTTCTTTTTTGGCAAATTATTTGAAAAAATTTCGTCAAACAACAGTAACGTACAAGAAGGTTCGTCCCATCCGATAAAAAAACAAAGAATAGAATATTTACTCCATAGATTCAATCTCAAAGCGTGGAGGAATCTAATCGGTAGAACAAAAGAGCCTTAACCGTCACCTTGATTACACAATATGACACGCATTATATCTATTTGCTCCCTAACATCACCGCCTAGAAAAGTAACAAGCTCGGTTATTTAGCATTATATTTCTTATTATTATCGCCACGATATTGTTTTTTGTGAATGTAATCGTTGTGTTACAACATTCTCTCTCCCCCATCTTTCCCTGCTGCCGGACCCGAAGGAGGAAAAAAGGTGACGAGTTTCGGAGCACCTAAATCCACAATTGCTATCACTATGAATTATTAATGAAACGTATAAGAATACAAATTTTCGAGCAAAAAGAAAATAAATAGTAATAATAGAATATATATATATAAAAAAAAAAAAGAAAAAAGATAAAAAATAAAAAAAAAGATTACACTTAAAAAGAAATATATATAAAGTAATTGTTCTTTTTTTGCAAGAAAAAAAAAAAAGAAAGACTGTAAAAAATAATGTGTTCGAAAAAAATAAGAGAAAAAAAAAAAAAGTAACAAAAGAAAGATGCAATCACTGCCAACGCCCACCCACTCACGACCTACGTCACACCCCTATCACTCGTGCACCGGAATGCGCATGTGGCATGCCTTCCTCGCCTGCATCCATTATTCTTTATTACATACCTATACTACGTAATAAATTTCTTGATAATTACATAGACGTTTAACTTGAACGTTTGCCTTTCGTTATTTTGTTCTAGTCATTCGTTTTCCCTTGTGTTCGTTATCGTTGCGTGTTGCGTCGTTGTTGCACGTTTTTGTATTATCAAACGAGCGATAAAGTATACCGGAGGTAATTGGAAAACGAAAATAGAAAATTTTGTTATTTGTGAAGAAATATCGACAAAACAAAAAGAAAAAAAAAATAATGTGTTCTAGGAAAAACGCGAATAAGAATGAAATATTTCCATCCGGCATACTCGATCGCTTCGTTTGTCATCGAAGAATCGCGAGAGCAGCTCCGTTCTAACGTTTCTTCTGTCCTACCATATAGACCTAGAAAAAGCAGAGTACCAGGTCTAAATCTCCTACGAGAGATTTTGAGTCCAGACACCCCGGACTCATGCCGCGGTCGTCCCCTCGGTAAGATCTCTCGCGCAGCCGACGGCCGATTCGTCGTGGCGGATTCGGTTCTCAGTTCGGCGAACAACAGTATCCTGGATGCATCGAGCAGCGACGATGGCGGGTTTCTGCCTAAACAACGGCTCAAGTCCTCTTGGCGACGTCCCTTAGTCGGCAACAGTCAGCTGAGCCTGAGATCATCGGGTAGCGGTGTCTCGATAGGTGCTCTGCACGCTGCTCACCATCATCATCAGGATGCGGTTAATTCATTGGCCAGGATACCACCAACTATCTGTACGATATCGTCGCCTAGATTCTTAGCGAGTTCACCGAGCGGTCCCAACGTACCCTGGACACCGTTATACTTTAGCGACCTCAGCTCCGTGAGACAACCATCTTCAGGGGAGAGATCATTCCCGACCCCTCCAAGTTACCTCCAATTGCGAACCGTTCATCAACGTTACAGCCAAGAGCTTCCATCATTGAAGGCGATCCACGCCGAGTCCAGAAGATTCGTACCAGTACAGCCTCTTGCTACCTCGTCTCCACCTCAATCCGCTGGTCGACCAAGGGCGAGACTTCCACCGAGACACGCCAGGCACGCCAGGTCGGCGCCTGAACTGGCTGCGTCTCCGGATTTGGAGACCTCGCCTGAAAGTAGATCCAGCAGTTCGGGTTTCGGTAGCAAGAACACGTCTCAACAGAACCAGAGCTCGAGGAGCGGAAGCACGGTGGCTGAATGGAGACCACCACCTTATAGGCCGCCGCCCCCTCCTCTGGTTGGTCGATGGTTGGAGCTTCAGGACCAGGCGAAGGTCGGCCACTTGAAAAATGCCGTGGATGCTGGTAGCGTCGATGGACACTACGAGTTCGATCCTGCCTCCTGTACGCCTACACCTACTTCTGCCTCCACTCCTACTAGAGAGGAGAGACCGCCGGTACATCAAATACACGCCATTCATGTGCCGCATGTTCATCAAGTACATACGGTTCATCATCAACCATCGAGATACAGCAGGGATAATATCGAGGCTAGGGTACAGGCCATGAAGGCTGAATTTCATCAATTTAGGCAAAGGCAGGCTAGGAGAAAACAGAGCACGCATTTGGAAAGCGCCTGTTAAAAATAAGCTTGTCAAATAATTTTCATTAAACGATCATGGATGATTCGCATCGTGGTTACGTGGTACGATTAGATACGGTCCAACAATAACCGAATCAAATTCTAGTAACGAGACATTTCCATTGGAATCGGATATATCGGAGGACCAAGAGAATCTATCGCGGTTGATGACAACCTGGTATTATGCGTGTTGCTTTCCTTTTTTGGAAATTCTTCGGCGTAAGACCAATTGTCAAAATTGCACAAAACAACGAGAATCATCATCGCGTAACGGTATCGAAATAATAGGCGCGTTATAAAATGTCAATTCCGCTAGCCAAAGCAATCCTCTCTGATGTTGTTAAAATAAACAAAAAAAAAATGAGAGAGAGAGAGAGAGAGAGAGAGAGAGAGAGAG